AGTTATACTGGTATAATAACTAAAAGAAGTATGTACTATTGACAGCCAAAATCAAGCTCCTTTAATCACCTTTTCTATGGCCGGATTGCAAAATACAAGTTGGGGGGTTCTTACGGGACACTGTCTTACACCATCTCACGCGTTCAAGATAGGACTTACACAGAGTAAAGTATGCATGGCAGATTTCGGAAGATCAGGATTGAGCTACTAAGCTCTTGTTACTTATAATAACTAAAATAAATAGCAGACCAAAGCACAACAAATTTCTAAAACTCGCTAAAATATGAATCATGACTACTAATTATACATCAACGTTGCATTGTTGCATCGCCCCGATGTACCCAGGCAACGTAAATATAATTATATTTATGCATTAAAATGATTTAAACCAATTCTACTTTTACCCAATGACTCTATTTTTCACATGTTGATTACAAGTAACAAAAATGTATGTATGTAGGTGTGTATGGATGTGGGAAGCATCGTATATTTACAAGTATGGAATCCCATGATACAAAAAAGAAGCTAAGTAGTTTCATTACTACTATTTTTTTATTATAAAGCAGATGTTTGACATTTCTCCAGATGAAAACATTAAGCATAGCTTTGCCACATCGTAATTTTAGCTCAGCTTATTATTAGCTTTTTTAATTCTAAAATAAATCAACGATCTCAAGATTTATAAAAAATGTGTCACCAAAAAATACGTTCCAAAGCATCCCTGTTGATATTATAATTCAAATGCAAATTAGAATATAAGATTTTCCGCGATATTCATCATACAAATTTATCATCTTACTTGTCCGTATGTCGCTGTGGAAAGAAATATGTTTTCTTAAAAATAAATGCAAATTTTCCCTTTTTTTTCCACCGGCAGGCATGAATATGGTATTAAAAACAGAAACAATGACAACGAATTTTACACACATTGTTGTATTTTTGCGCAAAACGATAAGTTTCACAAATATTTTAAATTATTGCCTGGAACATACACATTTATCGTTATTATTGGAAAAGCAAGACTTGGCATGCATTTTTAATTTCTTATTTAATCAGTTCAATTTTTCTAATATATTTCTCAATTTACATTTCAATTACGTAAAAATCAAAACCCAACAGAATTCTACATGTTAAGTGCTATGGATTGGGTAACCGCTTACACGCAAAGCCCATTTAACAGATTCTTATGTGACAACTCTCATGCGAAGCTAAGTATGCGTAACTGGGCTATAAGGGCCGGTTGCTCGAAGCCTGCTAGACACTAATCCCCGGTTAAACATCGTTATCGACGTTATTGACTCCCTGTTATATGTCTTTGACCAGGAAGCAGCATAGGCAACCTCTTTGTTCTCCATGCACATTTCAAGTTTCTTTGTAAAACTAATAGATATGTATTATTTTTACATAAAAATGCTTTTGTCGAATAACTCAGCAGGCGTTTGCAGGTTTGTAATAGATATAAAAAGGAATTGCTGGACCAAAGGTTGAATTCAAAATGCTAAATGCTAAAGTCCTCCTAAATCAATTGTATAGGCATGAAAAGAGTATGTACATACATATGTACTTATATGTATGTGTCGCCGAAGCAAGCATCACGCAGATGATCTTTAGAAAGTTTTAATAAATCCCTTTATTGGATGGATTATAAGTTTTGAAAAATTTCTGCTTGTCTAATAAAAGTTTTTATTTTAATGACGT